GAAAAATCAATTCAGGTGCCATGACATTTCCACCTGATGAGGCTTTGAAGGAAACCTCCTGCCCAACACGGGAGGCCACAGGTGCTTTCAACAAAGCCTGCCCTGTGACTGACCCCTTCTGAGAGGCAAGATTTGGCTCTTCCAGCTGGATCCTGGGGGTGGACAGTGGAGGGAGGAAGGGAGGACGAGGGGGAGAACTCAGGCCGGGGCTCCAGGGACAGGAGGACGCTCAGTTTGCAGCTGACCTGCCATCCTCTGTCCGAGCACCTCTCTGGCCAGCAGGGGGCTCATCCAGGCTGATTCAATGTTAAGGACTCCTTTTAAGGAAAAACCAAACTACACATATAAAGTTAAGTATGGACGTGAATATTTATTTAAAGTGGGAAAAGGAATCACTGCAAATTGGAAATGTTAGAAAGTTGGCAAATACCATGAACACCTGAAAATCAAAGTAAATAACAAATCGTCATCCCTACCAGCTGCCTGACCCACCTCTATTGTGCCTGTTTTACTCCAGTTTGGCTGCAGATTCTCTTATAACAATTTCATAGGATTCTTTTCTACAGTGACAATAAGAAGGTAATTTAATATTTTCTTTAGGCACGTTCACTTTATTTTATTTATTTATTTATTTTTGAGATGGAGTCTCATTTTGTCACCCACGCTGGAGTGCAGTGGCGCAATCTCAGCTCACTGCAACCTCCACCTCCCGGGTTCAAGTGATTCTCCTGCCTCAGCCTCCAGAGTAGCTGAGATTACAGGTGCGCACCATTATACCTGGCTAATTTTTGTATTTTTAGTAGAGATAGGGTTTCACCATGTTGGCCAGGCTGGTCTCGAACTCCTGGCCTCAAGTGATCTGCCCATCTCGGCCTCCCAAAGTGCTGGGATTACAGGCATAAGCCACCACGCCCTGTCTAGGCATGTTCACTTTAAACTCATTTTTTTAAATTGATGTTTTAGAGAAATTTCCTTCGGGTCCACAACTCATCATTGTGTTGTTGTATCTCACTTCACCCTTGGGCCTCGTGATGCTTCCTGCCTTGGGCAAGTGGGCAGGAAACTCCAGCCCTCTGACTGCCATTGGCAGTGGCTCCCTACAGATGCCTCCACCTTCTCTTGTCCAGCTTCTCTGGGTTCTCGACAGCCCGTTTCACCTCCCGCCTGGCCGGTCCTCGAAGGCAGGGCAAGGGGAAAGTGGCTGTGAACACTTTGCTTAGAGTCCCAAGCAGGAAGTGGAGCCACATCTTTTTCTGATCCTTCTCTTTGGGGTCAAAGATAAGGCTGGTCAGGGGCAAAGGAACACTGATGCCAAATGAACGTGGTGGCAGTGCTGGCAGCCCTCCAGCTCTGATCAGTCCAGGACCAGGGTACGGAAGCTGACCCTTAATATGTGTCCTTGGGGTGGATGTGTGACTAAAACCTGGTCAAGCAGGGTCACCTTGATTGGCTCAGAGATGGCATTTGCCTTAATCTGGGGTAACGTAAGTCAGCCTCTGGGAGTCTCTTTCCTTTAGGACTGCTAAGCCAGGAGGATGTCAGCCTGAAGCTGCTGGGAGACATTTTTGTCATCTGTGGGAAGGGCCCACCTTACAAAAAAGATGCCACAGCAGAAAGCAGAGGCAGTGCATGGAAAGGGCCAGATTCCTGGTGACATTGCTTGAACCCCTAGATCCAGCCATGCCTGAAGCCCACAACTGGGCTTTATGTCAATAGAGGGACCTGGTCTCCAGTATGCACAGGTGAAATCCCTCAATTTCCTGCTTGTCTGATCCTGTACTTCATCTGTTCCTGCTTGGGAATAACCTAACCATTCTCTTTCTCCACCCTATTCATCCACCCTTTTGGGTCCCTTGACCTCTAATGTCTGCCCTTGCCGATGCTGACAAATAGATGATGAGGAAAGCATGAAGTCCCCATAGGAATTTTGTGAGCCTGTGCCTTCCCCAAGTAGAAGACAGAACTGTGCTTTCCCAGCATCCCAGGGAGCTATAGTCATGTGACATCACTCTGCCAATCAGATGCCTCCACTCAAGTCTTTGATTCCAGAATTGGCGATGCAGAGGTGCAAGTACATGCAAAGCCACCCCTGGGGAAAGCATTCAGTTTCCAGAGGCAGCACGGATAGAGGAGTCTCTAGCAGTGGCCTTCGCCACTCAGCATTGGCAGGGAAGCACTGCTCTTTCTGGGCTTGGTGATGGTAGCCAAGGCGTCCCACTGGACAGTCTTGATCTTGCTATGGTGAGGCACAGTCCTGGCTATGTAGTTCTAAGCCCAGTTCTCTGCCCCTCCTAGAAATTCACTGAACTGTGTAATATCCTTTAATAACTTAATAACTTTTTTTTTTTTTTTTTTTTTTTTGCTTAGTGTGGATACTCTTGTTTGCCACTAAATCTTGGCTCCACCTAGTGGCTAATGCCTATAATCCAGCACTTTGGGAGACTGAGGTGGGCAGATCACTTGAGGTCAGGAGTTTGAGACCAGCCTGGCCAATATGGTGAAACCCCATCTCTACTAACACAAAAATTAGCTGGTGTGGTAGTGTGTGCCTGCAGTCCCAGCTACTTGGCAGGCTGAGGCATGAGAACTGCTTGAACCTGGGAGGCAAAGTTTGCAGTGAGCCAAGATTGCGCCACTGCACTCCAGCCTGGATGACAGAGCAAGACTCTGACCCCCCCTCCAAAAAAAACTGGAGCAATCTTAATCATATCCCTGAGCACGCTCAAATTGGATAACTCAAAGTTTAATAAAGGATCTATTTTCAAAGTTGAAGGCAGGATATAGGGAAATCACAAGGCATGGTGCAGTGCCCCAGGATGAGTAATTGAGAGAGTGTTACCACCATCAGACTTGCTGGGACAAAGCAGGTAGGAATTACGTGAACCTGGAGAGAAAGGTGAAAAGAGCTGTAAGCTAGGGACGGATCCGCGGGAGAAATATTCCTACTCATTCTTCTCCCTGCCTACTACCAAACGTCAGGTCTCCTAACCCAACCAGAAGCTGAGCATGGAGCAGCCCACTGATGGAGCCCAAACAGGTCAACCTGCTGATGAAGAGGAGGTAGAGGTCGAATTTGTTGGGGCAAATAAATAGAAAATTCCTGGTTCAAATCCTCATTCCCAATCAAACTATTTTTGGAAAGGAGGATTGGATGGAGAAAAAGGATAGAAAGGAGAGACGGAAGAATTTTAATTTGAATCCTAGTACACAGACACTCAACATAATTAGAAGGCAAAATAAGTATCATGGAGGAAATTAACAAGGGACTTGGAATGGTCCAATGGAAAGTGAGGTTGGTGATTCAGGAGACAGAGAAGCTCACCAAGGTGTAATGTGGGGTTGGTATCTCCCCAGCAGTCCAGGTAAGGGGATAGTCCTAAGGTAGAAGGATGGAGAATAGGGCAGAGATAATGGACACGTCTGTAATTTTGGTAGTGGCCCTCTGTATTGGTCAGGCTGTTTGGCTGCAAGCAACAGACACATAAAATAGCAGTGGCTTAAATGAGCTAGAAGGTATTTCTTTTTCAACCAAAGACTAACGTGATGTCATTGAGGGGAGAATCAGGGAGAGATGTGCAGTATCTCTCCTAGGTCTCTGTAAGAGTTACTATCTATAAATAGCCTCAAGGGCACAGATGATAGTAAAATGTAGTGAAATTAGGTAATGAATTTTGAGTATAATTATTTTTGTTATAATATAATTTAATTATAAACTTAAATCATTTAATTTTTAAAATAATGTCTGTTTACCAACTTGCAAAAATCCTGAAAATGTAGCAATCAGCTTTCACAAGCCAGCAAAGCCAGTGCCAGCACACCACTGGATACAAGGGAGAAGCATCTAGAACAGAGAAGATAGGAGAACTCAAGGGGCCAGGGTCCTTGGAGGCTCAGCCAGCACCCACATGTGCAGGGATGGATGACAAATCATCCAGCATCTGTGTTAGCTCTCCATTCTCCCCAGCATCTGGGAGCTTCTTGACAATCCCTTCCTTAAGTGATCTCTGGTCTTAGCTACTTGCTCAGTCCCCCATCTGATTCACCCTGACCCTTTACAGGGTCCAAAGGAGGGATCTGGGTAATGGAGGATGAGTAAAAATATTCCCTGAAGGGAAATAGGGTCTAAATATACCCCTGGGACATAATTGTCCCCATTCTGCAGATGAGGAAACTTAGGGTTGAGGGAGTTATTATTTTCCCAAGTTCAAGGTCTGCTGAGCGGCAAAGGCAATATTGTCAAGCAGGTTTGTTGGCCTCCAAACCAGTCTCCTTTCCGCAAAGCCATGCTGCACCATCCTGGAGACCAGCTCCTGGACCAGCATTCAGAATTCCAGTTCACTGGAGTGGAAATAAATCTTAAGAATGACCTGGTCCAAAATTCCCATTGTACATGAGGGCAAACTGAGGCCTGTGGTCATTCATACAGCAATGACACCAGCTGACCAAGGACTAGAGCTGAGGCCTCCCATCAACCAGACAGAGTTGCTGGCAAAGGATAAATATTCTGGGTAAGAGAATTAGAGGAGCTGAATAAAACTCAGATAAAAGAGTCAAAAGGCCTGTAATCCCAGCACTTTGGGAGGCTGAGGCAGGTGAATCACTTGAGGCCAGGATTTTGAGACTAGCCTGGCCAACACGGCAAAACCCCATTTCTACTAAAAATACAAAAAGTTAGCCAGGCATGGTGGCATGCGCCTGTAGTCCTAGCTGCTTGGAAGGCTGAGGCACAAGAACTGCTTGAACCCAGGAGGCAGAGATTGCAGTGAGCCAAGATCCTGCCAGTGTACTCCAGCCTGGGCAACACAGTGAGACTCTGTCTCAAGAAAAAATGAAGAGTCAAAAAAGAGACTTCCCCCACCCCAAAATGTCCCAGCCAGTTGAAAAAAGAGATTAGAGAAGATGATAGCCTCATTTGGATTTAGAGGTGATATCAGGAGAGACTTCCCGCCAGGATTGGTACCCTTGAGATTCTTTGAGAAAGTCCATGGTGCAACAAAGACTCCATAAAATATTCTTATTATAAATACTGCAGATATGTGCAAGTCAATGGGGAAACTGAGGCACAAAGCTAGATCTTCAGAAACCCTCAGGGCCTGAGACTCAAAATGAAAAGTTGGACATTCTCAGACTTTAATCCTTTTTGCCCCAGCAAAAAAAAAGACCTCCTTTGGGGTACGGGGCACTCCCAAATGACAAGGTGGAACTTGTGCTCTGGGGGCTAGGAAGCAGGACGCTGGAGATGGTCGCCAAAGCCATGGTTCCAGAATTTCCAGGAAGAAGGATTCCTCAGGAGGCCGCAGAGACCTCGATGCGGCTGTACTGGATGCCAGTGGAGTTCTGCCTGTGGCCAAAGCTCAGGGCAAACCTGTCAAACAGAATGTGTGGGATCAGGGCGTGGCAGGGCCTGGGGCCTTCCCTGCGGAGTGGGCCTTCCACTGGGGTTTCCACTCCCCAATCTCATCTTCACTCCTACTATGATCCTTCCTGCTTCTATTAGTACAGATGTCTACCTTCTCTCACCTGGACACCCCAGCAGCTCCTTCCTGGTCTCCCTGGATCTTCCCTGGCCTCCTATAGCCCCTTCTCACCATTACATCCATAGTGACCTTTCTTTTTTCTTCCTTTTTTTTTTTTTGAGATGGAGCCTTGCCCCATTGCCCATGCTGAAGTACAGTGGTGCGATCTCCGCTCACTGCAACGCCTCTCAGGTTCAGCCAATTCTCCTGTCTCAGCCTCCCAAGTACCTGGGACTACAGGTGCATACCAATGTACCTGGCTAATTTTTTTGTATATTTTAGTAGAGATGGGATTTCACCATGTTGGCCAGGTTGGTCTCGAACTCCTGACCTTGTGATCCACCTGTCTTGGCCTCCCATAGTTCTGGGATTACAGGTGTGAGCCACCGTGCCTGCCCCATAGTGACCTTTCTAAACACAAAAATCTGTCCCTCCTCACTGATATGATTTGGATCTGTCCCCACCAAAATCTCATGTTCAGTTGTAATTCCCAGTGTTGGAGGTAGGGACTGACGGGAGGTGACTGGATCATGGCGGCAGTTTCTCAAGAACAGTTTACCACCGTCCGTTTTAGTTCTGTCCTCGAGATGGTGAGTGAGTTCTCGTGAAATCTGGTCGTTTGAAAGTGTGTAGCACCACTCCCTGCTCCCGCCATGTAAGATGCGCTGGCTGACGTTCACCTTCTGCCATGATTGTAAGTTTTGTGAGGCTTCCCCAGAAACTGAGCAGACACCAGCATCATTCTTCCTGTACAGAGTACAGAACTGTGAGCCAATTAAACTTCGTTTCTTTATAAATTACCCAGTATTTCTTCATAGCAATGCGAGAATGGTCTGATACACCTGCTCAGAAGGAGACTGTCATCATGCTCAGCCTAACATCCCATCTCCTCCCCAGGGCTGGCCTCCCCGACACCAACCCTTCCAGTCCCTTGGCTTATCACACCCTGGACACATGGGCCTCCTATGTCTCTCCCTTCAAAATCCCTAACTTGTTTCCACCTCAGGGCCTTTGCTCTTGCTGTTCCCTCCACCTAAAACATTTCTTTTTTCTTTTTTTGAGACGGAGTCTTGCTCTGTTGCCAGGCTGGAGTGCAATGATGCAATCTTGGCTCACTGCAACCCCCGCCTCCTAGGTTCAAGTGATTCTCCTGCCTCAGCCTCTGGAGTAGCTGGGATTACAGGTGTGCACCACCATGCCCAGCTAATTTTTGTATTTTTTGTAGAGATGGGGTTTCACCATGTTGATCAGAATGGTCTTGATCTCCTGACCTCGTGATCTGCCCACCTCAGCCTCCCAAAGTACTGGGATTACGGGAGTGAGCCATCATGTCTGGCCATCTAGAACATTTCTTCCAGTTCTTGAAACTGTTTCTTCTGCTTGAACATTTCTTCCTGCTCTTGAAACCATTGGTTTTTTTCTCATAATTCCAGTCTCAGCTCAGAGCAGGTTTCCGTCAGTATCATTCATTCAGCCAGAGGTATGATTAAAGACGGCAGTGCCAGGCACTGTTCTAAGCCCTGGGACAGGGTAGTGAGTGGAACCAATACACAAAAGTATCATTGTGCTTGTTGAAAATTCCCAATACACTCGTAACACAAATGCACCCATAGCTATTTGCACCTTAGCTAACGAAACCGTATCCATCTCCCAAATCTGCCATTCACTCCCTGGTAGGTTAACCTGTCTTATTTTCTTCATGATATAAAAAATTCTGAATTATCTTATTTGTACATTTTGAGTTTTGTAGTCTATCTCTCTCCTGTACATTAAAATGTAACTTCCTTCTAAGTCCAGAGATAAAGTCTCTCTTGGTCCTGAGTCTGTCCCCAGAGCCTACGACAGTGCCTGGCATTTGAAAATATTTGCTGAAAGTTGAATGAATTGATTCCTGAGAAATTGGGATGAAACAGAAATTTTTGAAGGTGTATTTTTGTTATTATATCCCCCAAGGGATTAGTAAAGGTCTCTTTTGAACAGAAATAACCTGATAAGAAAGCAAAATAAACAACATTTCGGCAACTGATTGCCACTGATTGATTGTAAGGCGATCTGAGCCCCTTGTGTTACTAATGCTCCTACAGCAGGTAGAAGAGCTGGGTCTGTAAGTTGTAGGTCTCCTTTTCCAACAAGCGCACCTGAGGCAGAGGGAGGCAGCAGTCAGCCCACAGTAGTGAGTGTCTGCTCTACCACATGTGCCTCCAATTTGGGGGGAACTAGTCGACTCTGTGTATTTGGCTTGACTGGACTGTCAGTCAAGGAGCTCTGCCCTATCCTGGCTAAATTAGGGGTTAGGAGGTGGGCACATAAATCGGGCTTGGCCAATCAGACTTTCCCCTGAGACCATGACTCTTGCATGGAGCACACAGGAGTGAAAATAGTTGATGCCGAATGTTCCTGCTGTCAGACTCCCTGGACATGCCCTGGTCCCTGTGTTCCCAAAGTCAAGTTTCTCTCTGTGTGGCCTCTGATATCAAGAGCCCCCTGAACTTTAGGGACAGAGATGATAAAACACAGACCTGCCTCCAGACTCCACCAAAACCCCTAACTTCCTGTCTTCTCCAGAGTCATAGCAGACCCAGTCTCCAGTCCCCAAGGGCTGGCCCCAGCTCCCTCATGTGACCCCAGACCCAGCCTGACACCCCCAGCTACAATCACATCCTCCCTTATCCCAAAGCTGGCTCTCACGTGCCTTTCTGCCTCCTTTGCTTTTTGTACCAGAAGATGGATTTGGAATCTTCTCCCAAGAAAACCAGTATGGCAGAGATTCCAGACAGCTGTCTAGTAACAGAACCCTTGATTTTTAGCTGGGCACATGGCTGTCCAGGTTGAAGACCACATTTCTTAGCCTCCCCTGCACATAGGTGTAGCCAAGTCCTATACAAAAGCACGTTGGTAGAAGTGACCCTGAGGACTATGCCCACCCCTTCCCCTCCCCCATTCTCTGGCAGGTATGTGGGGGTGTACCTCTTTGCGCCATGCAGGAAAGGTGATATGGAAGATTGGCAGAGCAATAAGACGGAAGGAGCCTGGGACCCTGCATGACCTTATGGCACACCGCTGCCACCCAACCGTAGACACCAACAGACATTTGAACAACTTCAAGCAGCCAAATCGATTTCCCAACTAATGCAGCTGGGATGCTGAGGGGCCTGCCAAAACTGCAGAAGGTGTCACTCAACGAAGTAGGAGAGAGCATTCTGGGGTGGGGAGGACCAGGCTACAGGCTCCTACACCAGGAGCCAGATAGGGATGGGGCTTAGCAGCTGGTTCAGGGTTAGCTAGTCAATGTTAGAATGATTTTTTAAAAACTTTTTATGACTTCCCGGAATCAGAATGGGCAGTCAGGAGCTGGTGACTATGACCTGCTTACAAGAGGTAACTGGGAACATTTGCCAAGGATGCTTAGGATTGTAGCATGTTGAAGTCCCTTCCAAAGCTCCCGTTCCACTCTTATTTGAAAGCCTAAGGTCTCATGATGCTAAGATTCTGAACTTCCCTCAGTGACCTTAAGACCTGATGTGATCTAGCGCCTTCCCGTCTGGCCCATCTGACCCTCCACACCCTTCCCTCCCTCCTTCCCTCTATTCCAGGCACGCTGGCTTCCCTGCTGTTCCTTGTACATGCCAGATACACACCCACCTCAAGGCCTTCGCACTCACTGTTCCTTCTGTCTTCATCGTTACATGGCGGCCTCCCTCTCACTAACTTAAATTCCACTCCTCGGAGAGGACTTTCCTCCCTGACCGCCCTCTCCACTTCAGCCACAACCCCTTTCTTCTTTGCTCCCCTGTGTCCACCTGGCCCTCTCAACATATTTTGCTCTGTTTTATTTTCTCCTAATTACCCGTCACCAATGAAAATGCTCTTGTTTATGCATTAGTTGGCTTCTCTGCCCCATCAAATGGAAGCTCCTTGAGGATAAGAACTTTGTCTTCCTTAATCTCAGCATGTTTTCTAAGGCTCTAAACACAGTCTGGCACATTGTAAGGACTTAATAAATAGCCATGGAATGAATGCGTGAACCCACAAGTGTTTTGCATGCAGTGTTTGAAGGCCATGTTATAATGTTTTGCTTCTCCAAAGTCCCGTGACTAAGATAGTTTATGGTTTTAAGATTCTGCTCTTCTAGCCCCTTGTGATGCCTTAATCCATTGATTTTTAAATCCCTGTGAACTGTGTCTTAAAGTCAAATGAAAAGGCACTGTAGGGAAACACAGGACAACCCAAGGAAAACAACTTGTGTATGGCCGGACAAAACTCACAGTGCCCAGGCAATAGGGAAGACAGGACGGATGCTCGCTTGCAAAGAGAAAGTACAAAGCCCAAAATCCTGGAGCTGCGTGCTTGAGGTGTGACAGTTCTTCCCCGAGACCCCCCCGTCAGCTCCCTACCGTCTCTTTTGGAACTGCTGGTCTATCTCTGCCAACGACTGGCCCTTTGTTTCAGGAACAAATACATAGATGAAGCCCAGGCCGAGGACAGCGGTCAGTCCGTAGAGCAGAAAGGTCCAGGACAAGCCGATGGTGCCTGGAAACAGAAGGGCAGGAGTGTTGGCCCAGGACCGAGCACTCTGGCCCCGCAGCCTAGACCAACCGGTGGACTCCAGGTCAGGCATGGAAAGTCAGTTCACTCAAAGCAAATGTTCCCAATGGTCAATTTGCAGAGTGACCAATAAGCTGTCAGGGAAGTACCTTAAAGCAGAAATCTCACTCATTGTCCCAGAGGCGGGGATGAGCCAGGATGCAAGTCCACAAGCAAAGCACAGAGACGATGGTAACTTGTGTTTACGGGAATGAGCCCTCACCCACATCTAGGGCACTATTCCGTAGACTGCACCTGGGCTCCGAAAGCCTGACCTGACGGAATGTGGATCCAGCTGAGTGGCCAAACAGCTGCACGGATATGACCTTGGCAAAGCTCAGTTAAAACAAAAAAAAAAATCCTTAGAAATTCCATGAATTGGGAATGGCGCAGTGACTCACACCTGTAACCTCAGCACTTTGGGAGGTTGAGGTAGGAGGATCACTTGAGCTCAGGAGCTCGAGACCAGCCTGGGGAATATGGCAAAATCCTGTCTCTACTAAAAATAAAGAATAAAAAAATTAGCTGGGCAGGGAGGCATACGTCTGTAGCCCCAGCGACTTGGGAGGCTGAGGTGGGAGGATCATTTGAGCCCAGAGGTCAAGGCTATAGTGAGCCGAGATCATGCCACTGCACTCAAGGTGATACAGACCCTGAAAAAAAAAAAAAGAGAACACCAGAAATTCCATGAATTGGTCATTCAGTGAATTCATCACTCAGAAAAGTGAGTTTCAGCCAGTTTGGCTCGTGACTGGTTTGGGACAGAGAACAAAAGCCGCAGTTCAGTCCTGGAGTCGGCAGGGGGTTGGCAGGGGTTTGGGGCAGCGGGTGGCTCAACATCCTAGCCCCTGCCTCCTCCTGGAGCCTCCGGTGGGTCTCAGAGCCAGCAGCCAGGATGGGGATCATCCTGAGTCCTCTGATGTCATCCAGCCCAAGTCAGAGCAGAGGCTATGGTGGAAGGATCTTTGTCAAGGTGGAAGATAAATTTTGTTTTGGAAGCCATCCTCACCTCTGACAGCCATGTCCATACCTCCTTTAGGCAGCCTCCCATGACCAGCTGGACCGATCGCCAGCAGGGAGAGCAACAGGCTAGAAGTCAGGGAGGCTGGTTCTAGTCTTTTGATTCCCTGGCTGGATGGGGAAGGATGTATTTTCCCATCTGTGAAATAGGGATGATACATGACACAATTCTAATAAATTCCTTCCTGTCTCCCTCCCTCCCTTCCTTCCTCCCTTCCTTGTTTCTCTCCTTTCTTCTCCTCTCTCACTCATTTACTCCACGAAAAGGAAAATGCTTGAAGACTGAGGCTGCAGGGAGAAGCTTGGATTCCCTAAGACAGTTATAATGTGGGGGAGGAGTTCTTCCACTGGTGTTTCCCACAGCATTGTCCCCCGCCTCCCAAGTTGGCTGCACCTTTGAGAAGGAAACTAATGGCCATAGGGAACAGGAAAATAACTGAACCCTAAACACTGTGCCTTGGGGTCCACAGTGAAGGAGCCTATGTACTGTGGCCCAGGTGAGCAATACCCACCGAAGACCAGGGCTTGGAGCCATGAGCATCTCAGCATCTCAGAGCCATCCCCTGGTGTTCTTGGGCCCACATAATTTCCACCCCATCCCTCAGACTGGGTTTCAATGCTAGGGAGAAAGAGATGATATCACATAAACTTGATCTGAGAAAAACTTCCAGACCAGACATAGTGGCTCATGCCTGTCATCCCAGCACTTTGGGAGGCGGAGGCAGGTGGATCCTTTGAGGTCAGGAGTTCAAGACCAGCCTGGCCAACCTGTGAAACCCTGTCTTTGGGAAAAATACAAAAATTAGCCGGGCATGGTGGCGCACCTGTAGTCCTGGCTATTGACTGAGGCAGGAGAATCGTTTAAACCCAGAAGATGGAGGCTGCGGTGAGGTGAGATTGTGCCACTGTCCTCCAGCCTGGGCGACAGAGCAAGACTCCATCTCAAAAGAAATTAAAAATTAAAAAGAGAAAAACTTCCAGCTGGCAGGTGGCATGAACCAGTTTAAACCAACTGGGAGCAAATAGACATTGCTGCTCTTAAACCTGCCAGTCGACCTCAGACAACCTCTCGCCAGTACCGAGTGTAGACTATCACCCATTAGCTGGCCTGGGGAGCTTAACAGCGCGTTTGAGGGTCCTGGATGTCACCTTGGACACTTGGTAATGTTTCTGCACAGAATAATAGTTCTGCAGCTAACACATAGGAAAGTCCAAAAATGTCTGCTTTCAAGTAGGGAGCTTGGGCTACAGAAAAAAATGGACTTGTCTGGGAAGCACTCACCAATGAGATCGAGGAAGGAGAGGCTGATCAAGAGGTTGGCCGCCCAGTTGAAGCTGTTACAGAAGGCAAAGGCTCTTCCTCGTATCTCCACAGGGTAGATCTCGCTGAGGACAAGCCAGGTCACTGGGGTGGGAGAGCAGGAGGGCTCCTGGGCTTTGGTGGGACCTGGAGCCTGGCACCATCAGGTCAAACACACAGCTTTGCAACAATGGGATTTTGCAGTGTTGGGCTCTTGACCAAACTCCCCCCATACTGCTGTAAGAATCTCGGTAGGGTCTCGGTTTGCTGAAGACTAAGAGGTTTTCTGGGACACGAGACTTTCAATACTGAGATGGGAACAGTCTTGGATGAACTGGGATGATTGGTTTTCACCATATTCATTAATTTCCTTCCAGTTGTGAGCTCTCCAGGGAAAGATCCAGGCTTTAAGGGACTTGAAGCTTAAATGACTTGGGGAGCCTCTTAAGGAATACAATTTACAAACATAAAATTAGGCACTGGCCCTGGGAGGAGCAACTGCAAGTAAGTGAAGGCCCTGAGGCTTCATGGTCAACCCACCTCTCATGCCCCTCTAACGCCCTGCCGGATAGTCAGGGTGAGATGTCCCACTTCCCCCTAAGAGGGGTAGAAGGCTCCAGAGTCACCTGCAAGAAAACTCCACTTACCTGGCCCAAACCCAAAGGAGAAGGCACTGACAAAGACCATCAGGCAGAGCAGTGCAGTCCAGCGCAGCAGTGCATGCCCTGGGGCGGGCAGAGGGGGCCCAGGGAAGGCAGAGCTCAGGGCCGGCTGAGGAGGGGTTGCTCCAGATCTGGGATGGGGCTTGGTTTTCTTAGCAGCGAACAAGATTGGCTCCCTTTGGTCCTCATTGGTTTTTGGCATGGGAGGTAGAGAGGAGCCTTGCAGCAGATGAGGGTCTCCAGGGAAGCTTGTCTGCCCGGTGGCATTGGGCACAGCCAGGCAGCTTGGGCCTGAGTCCATGGGCACGGCAAAGCTGACAAGGCCTATACCACTGATCGACAGGGCCATGAAGGCACAGCCAGCTAGCAACAGAGCCCTGCGGCCTGCGCGGTCCACCAGCCCCATGGCGATCAGGGTAGCTGCCACCTTCACTGCACCAAGCCCCACGGAGGCCAGCACGGCTGAAGATCCCCCATGGAAGCCAACGGACAGGAAGATGGTGGAGGCATAGGACAGCACGTTGGGCTGCCCTGTTAGTTGCTGGAAGAGCACCAGCCCCAGGCCCACTGTGGTCCGGCCTCGCATGTTATCCCTTGTCCTGAAGAGGTCCAAAAAGGAGTACCGTGGCCTTCCCAGGCCCAGCCTGGGGGTCTCACCTCCCTGGAGTGGGATGAGGTCCTTGTGTGCTGCAGTCTCATCTGCATCAGCCGGGAGGAAAAGGAGGCTGAGGGACTGCAGGACAGCAGGTGCAGTGGCCCAGCCGAACATGTGCCTCCATCCCCAGGGGACACCAGCCAGTGCATAGTTGAGGGCATAGGAGAGCAGGATGCCCACGGTGATCCCTGCCTCATAGAGGGACACCAGCACTCCCCGCTGCCGTGGCCCCACCAGCTCTGACACGTAGATACAGCAGGCCATGGAGGAGAGGGAGATGGCGAAGCCAACCACAGAGCGGCCCAGGACCAGCCAGGCCAGGGAACCAGCCAGGCCCAGGCTCAGGCTGCCTGCCAGCAGCACCAAGTTGCTCCCAAGGATGGCTTGTTTCCTGCCATAGCAGTCAATGAGGAAGCCCCCGACCAGGGAGGCAAGGAGAGCCCCCAGGAGCAGGCTGCCGACCAGGAGCTCCTGCTCCAAGCAGCTTAGCCCAAAGTCAAGCTGCAGTGGCAGCAGGGCACCTGATATGACTGCCAGTTCATAACCAAAGGTCAGGCCACCCAGCAAAGACACAGAGGCACACAAGGTCAGGACAGGTGGGGGGCGGCCTAAAAAACAAAAGTGACAGGGAAGAGTTAGAATGGTTCCTTGCCATACTATCAATCCATTCAACCTTCCCTCCATCTGTCAATACCTCCATCCATCCATCCATCCACTCCATCAATTTAACCATCCATCCATTCATCCTCTATCCATCCATCTACTCCATCTGTTCAACCACCCATTCAACTGTCCCTTGATCCATCCATCCATCTATTCAACCATCCATCCATCTACACCATCTGTTCAATCATCCATTCAGCCTTCCATCCATTCTTCCATCCACTCCATTTATTCAACCACCCATCCACCAACTATGCATACTCCACCCATTCATCTACTCCATCCATCCAAATATTTATCCATCTCTATGTCCATTTATCTGTCCCTTAATTCACCCAACCATCCATCAATTTATTGATCCATCTATCTACAAATCCATCCATTCATCCACCCATCTCTATATTTCATCCATTTCACTCATTCACACATCCATCCATCCATCCAAATTTATTTATCTGGCATCTACAACATGCCAGGAAGCGTTCTTAGGGCTGTAATACAGTAATGTTGTCCAGGATCTAACGTCCTAGAAGAAATAGGAAGATGATAATAAGTATATAGTTTCAGGTGGTAAAGATATCATGAAAAATGAAGCAGGGAAAGAGAATTAAGACTGATGGAGTAGCACCATTTTAGGGCCTTTCTAAAGAGCAAAAATTTGGGTAGAGATCTGAGCGATGTGAGAACAAAAGTCCTAGGAAAATCTGAGTTTCTTCTTTTAAAAGGTGACCTTGGCCGGGTGTGGTGGCTCATGCCTGTAATCTCAGCACTTTGGGAGGCCAAGGTGGGTGGTCAGGAGTTCGAGACCAGCCTGGCCAACATGGCGAAACCCATCTCTACTAAAAATACAAAAATTAGCTAGGCATGGTGGCAGGCACTTGTAATCCCAGCTACCAAAGAGGCTGAGGTGGGAGAATCGATTGAATCTGGGAGGCGGAGGTTGCAGTGAGCTGAGATCACACCATTGCACTCTAGCCTGGGCAACAGAGTGAGACTCCATCTCAAAAATAAATAAATAAATAAAACAAGAGGCGAACTTATTCACATTTATTGCAATGACTGATACGATTGAAATAGCTTCTGCCATTTACTTTTGTATCTTCTATTTACTGTACTGTACGATATTTCTTTTTACCTCCATTTCTGCTTCTGGTGGGTCAATTATAGCTGGGTTTTTGTTTTATTCTTTTCTCCACTGATTTGAGTGTTACACTTTCTACGTTTTCCTTTTCTCTTAGAGCAGCACCAACAGCATTTTCTGCAATGAGAGAAAGGTCTCTACCTGTGCCATCCAATATGATAGTCACTAACCACGTGCAGATAATGAGCCCTGGAAATGTGGCTAATGGGATGCAGGAAGTAATTTTATTTTCTATTCTTTCTTTTGAGACAGTCTTACTCTGTTGCCCAGCCTGGAGCACAGTGTTGTGATCTTGGCTCACTGCAAACTCCGCTTCCTGGGTTCAAGGGATTCTCCTGCCTCGGCTTCCTGAGTAGCTGGGACTATAGGCATGTGTCACTATACCCAGCATATTTTTATATTTTTAACAGAGACAGGATTTCATCATGTTGGCCAGGCTGGTCTCAAACTCCTGACCTCAGGTGATCCACCTGCCTCATCCTCCCAAAGTGCTGAGATTACTTACAGGTATGAGTCACCATGTCTAGCCTGAATTTTTTATTTTATTTTAATTAAGTACAGATAAAAATAGCCACATATGGATGGTGGCTACCCTATTGTCAGCTCACTCTTAATTTTTAATTCATACAGTTAAATGTATATATTTCTGGAAGCATCTAGAATAATTCAGCAGTATCTATGTCATGCACCCCCACCCTGGACCTGACAAGAACATCTGCAATATTATAGCCAGATGTACGGGGAGTTTCTCTGGACCAGGCACTGCTTTGAGCACTTTAAGAACACATTTAGGGCTGGGCACAGCGGCGCACGCCTATAATCCCAACACTCTGGGAGGCTGAGGCAGCCTCCCAAATAAATAAAATTGTTCCATATTCCCCCCAACTGATTTGAATGTTACACTTCCTATGTTTTCCTTTTCTCTTAGAGCAGCATTATCTAACAGCATTTTCTGCAATCACAGAATTATCTCTACCTGTGCCATCCAATATGATAGGCTAATGGGATGCAGGAACTAATTTTTTTTTTTTTTTGAGACTGTTTTACTCTGTTTCCCAGGCTGGAGCGCAGGAGTCCGTGAGGCCAGGAGTCCAAGACCAGTCTGGCCAACGTGGTGAGACCCTGTCTCAACTGAAAATACAAAAATTAGCGGGGCGTGGTGGCACTCGCCTATAATCCCAGCTACTTGGGAGGCTGAGTCCGGAGAATCATTTGAACCTGGAAGGTGGAGATTGCAGTGAGCCAAGATCGTGTCACTGTACTCCAGCCTCGGCAACAGAGTGAGACTCTGTCTAAAATAAACAAACAAGCAAACAAAACCACATTTAGTTCTCACCCCAACATTATGAGGCAGGCTCTTATATTATTTACGAATGAATAAAGTGATCATTGGAGGAGTGAAGTGACTCACCTAAGGTCAAAAGCAGTAAGTGCAACTGGGCAACACAGCAAGATCCTGTCTCTACAAAACATTTTAAAATTGCCCAGGCATAGTGGTGGGAGCCTGTAGTCCTGGTTACTCAAGAGGTTGAGTGTGAGGATCGCTTGAGCCCAGGAGCTTGAGGTTACAGTGAGCTATGATCGTGACACTGCACTCCAGCCTGGTGACAGACTGAGACCCTGACCCTAAAAAAAAAAAAAAAAAAAAGTTTCCCTGTGGGGGTGGGTAAAAAAAAAAGTTGTAAGCAGCTGAGGCTAGAATGAAAGCCAGGCAGTCTGGCTCCACAGTTAAAAAACTCTTGACCACCCCATTATAAAACTTTGGTGCAACGTGATTTCACTCTGTTCTCTTGCTTCAGCCCCTTCCTAGCTGTGTCAGGCAATTTTTGTGCAGAGGGAGGAGTTCCACGGGCGAAGGAATCATCTCCCCCTCGCCTCACCCCGCCGTTCTGCTCACCCCTCTCCCCTGACACTCCTGCCCTCCAAGGAAACAAGCTCTTGTCACTGCCTGGCTGGCCTGTCCTTCCTGTTCCTCACTGCCGGTAAACATCCTGGAAGATGCTGCTCAGATCCTGCTCTGTCTTCGCCCCCTTTGCCCCTCCTCCCTCATTCCTGGGGTTTTCTTCCAGAAAGGAAAGTCCTTCCAGGCCATGTGAAGCAATCGAGGTGAAAGCCCAGGATTTGTTTGCCATTTCCTGGGTTCCTCCTGCAGCGAAAGGGAACCCAGCCAAAGGACTCACAGGTTCCTCCCACCAGTTCCACTGGAAAACACATCAGTGCGGATTCAGGTTGCAATGGACAATAAAACCAATGGATAATCAAAACAAACAAACATGAAGTAAAATAGTAATAATACCAGGTATCATGTATGGAGACCTCCTCTGTGCAAAGGCTTTACTTTCCTTCCCTCAGTTCATCCTAATAACAATCCTAGGTGAGACTGCTGCAATTATTCCATCTTACAGATGCGGGAGCGAAGGCTCAGAGTGTTCTCACAGCTAGGAAGCAACAGGATCGGGGCAGAAACGCTGACCTGCCTGCCTCCCAAACCCATGCCCTGAAGAGCTCTGCTGCAACGACTTTCCAGCAAGAGCCAATCAGAGATAGGCGGGGTAGGAGACAGCTGGGGTACAGGGGCAGAGGTGGAGGGGAAAGAGGGAAAACCCCAAGGGATAAAACATGGTGAAACGGTACTGTGGCACGGCGGGACTGTAGATGGAAAGGAGCACCCCAAAGCAGTCAGGGCTGTCAGGAAGATGAGGAAGAACATTCTCCCTCCATGGTTCCCATCACCTGAGTCAGTCCCGCCACCTTAGCACGACAGCCGAGGCTCTTGATGGGCTGACCTAACTCCTCGGCCACTTCGCCTCATCCTGGACCCTGTGGCTGCAGCCTCCCCCACACGCTCTGCCGACACGTGTGTTCGCGGCACAGACTGCACGCTTTCATGCTGCTCCACCTCCACACGTGCTGGGCCTCCTACATGCACTGCCCTTGTTCCCCAGGGAAAGGTGCCTTTGTTCCTCTACTCTCCCTCCTCGGTCCCAGGTCCTGCGCCGCCTCCCAAACGAGCCTCTAGGTATACACATCTGTTACTTGGCATCCTCTCCTTGTCTGCCATTGTGGGAGTCGCTCTCTCCCTTGTCTCTCAGTCTCCGGGTTTGGGTGAAGATGACCGCCCCAACCTCCACCCTCGTGCCCAGCCCCACGGTGGTGTTCACAATCCGCATCCAACCAATCAGCGGATTCTTGGGCCCCAGGCTGAGACGAATACCACGTGGCCAAACCTGGGCCAGTGAGAGTCAGCCCCAGCCTGTGTGCTCACCGGGGGTGCCAAGCTGGTGGTTTACCTGGCTGGAGCCACTGGGGGCCATCTTCCCAGATGAAGGATTCCTGACAACACTGTCTGAGCCTCTAGATCCAACTGCGCCTGAAGCCATAGACTTCAGTAAACAATAAATACTCATTACCAATTTCTTTATTTTTCCAAAGGTTTGCCTGAGATTTTTTTCTTAATCTCAGTCCCCAAGTACCTTTTATGTCAACAGACAGCGACGTTTGCTTAGTGCCTTTCAGTGGAAAAGTCTGAGGGAGTTCCAGACGAAGTCCCATGCACCTTCCTCAACTCTCTGGTGCGCTCCCTTCACTTGCCCACGCTGCAAGTTCCTTTGTGAGTCTTCCATATTCAACTAAGGAGGGCAGGGATAGAGGCTGACTCATCCTGAGCCTCCGGAGCCCCAGCCCTGCTTTGACACCCAAGAGGGACTCAGTGAAGTTTCTGCTGAATTAACAAATGACTGGGTAGGGGACCAGGGCTGTTTCACCTAGTGGCATTTCTGGGGCTGTGTCAGATACCACTGAACCTAATTTTTTTTTCTTTTTTTTTTTTTTAGACAGAGTCTCACTTTGTCACCCAGGCTGGAGTGCAGTGACGCAGTCTCCGCTCACTGCAACCTCCGCTTCCTGGGTTCAGCTGGGAAGTGATTCTCCTATCTCAGCTTCCAGGCACACCACCATGCCCAGCTAATTTTTGTATTTTTAGTAGAGATGGGGTTTCACCATGTTGGCCAGGATGGTCTTGATCTGTTGGCCAGGATGGTCTTGATCTCTTGACCTCGTGATCCGCCCACCTCAGCCTCCCAAAGTGCTGGGATTACAGGCGTGAGCCGCCACATCCGGCTGACTAATTCTACACAGCAGCCAGAGGGATCCTGAGACAACCTAGGTCAGGCCTCATCACTCTCTGCTCAGAGTCCTCCAAGGCTCCGATTTCACCTGAGAAAAGCCAACATCCTCACTGTAACCGTCAAGGCTCTGCAGGATCCATCCCCTCTCACTAGGCTCCAGCCACCCTGGTTCCTTGCTGCTACTCCCACTCCTAGCATGTCCCAACCCAAAGCTTGGTACCCACCAACCTCTCTGCCTGGGAAGTCCTTTCCCTCCACGCCAGCGGCTCCTTCCCTCCTCCCTTCCGATCTTTGCTGAAACATTCCCTTCGCGGTGAGGCTGTCCCTGGCCTTCTACCTAAAATTCAACCTTCCCGTAGCGTCTAGCACTTTATATCCCCTTCTCTACTTGTTTTTTCTGCTAAGTCATACCAACAGCTGTTGTGTGGCACTTTTCATCATCCAAAATAACTACATATTTTACATATTTATTGGTCTCCCTGACCTGAAAGTCAGCCTCAAGGGAACAGGAATGGTTTGTTTATTCTCAGCTGTCTCCCTGATGCCAAGGAAGGTTACTCAGCACTTGTTCAATCAATATTTGTTGATCGAATGAATGAATGAACAAACAAATGAACTGTGGGGACGTAAGAAATCCAGAGAGAAAGGATCTTGGCTCTTGAACATCTGGAAAGGTCCAGGGTCTGGAAGTGGCCATGGACAGGAAGCAGAGTAAAGCCTGGTCCTCAGATTAAGATGGCTTAGGCCAGGCACGGTGGCTCATGCCTGTAATCCCGATACTTTGGGAGGCCAAGACGAGTAGATCGCTTGAGCTCATGAGTTCAAGACCAGTCTGGGCAACGTAGTGAAACCCCATCTCTACCAAAAATACAAAAATTAGCCAGGCGTAGTGGCACACACATGTAATTCCAGCTACTCAGGAGGCTGAGGTAGGAGGATGGCTTGAGCCTGGGAGGCAGAGGTTGCAGTGCGCCAAGACTGCGCCACTGCACTGTAGCCTGGATGAGAGAGCCAGACTTTGTCCCCCCAACCCCAACAAAAAAAAGAAAGAAAGAAAAAAGAAAAGAAAGAAGAAAAATAAAAAGAAAAGAAAAAAATTAAGGAGAACAAATTAAGATGGCTTGACCTAAGTTGAGCAAGTGAGTTTCCTTTCTACTAATCATCTGCCTAAACACAGGTTGCACATGAAGATGTCCCTCGCTAGAAGAAATCCCTTAATCCTCCAAGCCCCTCACTGTGGAGGGCAGAGATTCCCAGGGAGAGTCAGGGGGCAGGCAGAGGGGAGGGAACCCAGTTTAGATGCAAGTTTCTCCAGCTACAAGTCAGGATCCTGTTGGTGACACTAGAGCAGCGTCTCAACCAGAAGTCACAGAGCACTGTGTCCCTCCTGCACCGGAGACCTGCTGTGGCCTTCCCTGAAGCTCCAGGGAGAAGCCAGGAGAAAAACTGAACTGTCTGAATACCCTCTTGCAGAAGGCCAGCTTCCAATGTCCCAGCCACTGCAGCCACAGTTGATACTTGGAGCACCCACTAGAGCCGGCCACTCTCCTAAGGGGCTGTGTTTGTACCAGCTGGGTTAATCCCTAGACAATCCTATGACAATCACTATTGTCATTCCCATTTTACAGAAATAACAACCACACTGAGAGGTGAAGACATTTGCCCAAGGTAACATAGCTTGTAAATAACACAGCAGGAACTTGAACTTGGGTGGTCTGACTCCAGAATGCCAATATTAGGTGCAATATAAAATAAAAACTCACCTTTGCTCACCATTTAGTAACTATAGGTAATGAGCCAAGCGCTGTAAGTTGGCTTTTTCATGTCACTCTCACGGCTGCCCTGTGATAAGGGCATTTTATAGTGACCAGAGAAGTTGGCAGGGTCTCCCAGGTCAAAGTGGGACTGTGAGAAAGTGGGAGGAATTGGGGCTGGAACCCAGTTCTGCCCCAAAAGGCTATACAGAGAGCCCAATCCCTGGTCCCTGCTGTGAAGTGAGCAGTGTAAGAATTCTGGGGAGGACAGAGACCAGCAGCTGTGACTTGTGCCTTCCCCAGCACTAGCACCCAGCCCTCGCTCTGCCCATAGAACACACTCGCAAACAGCTGTTGAGTTGACTTAGCAGGAGTGGGAGGTGCAGAAGCAAGGGGCCAGGGCTGAGCTGAGTGTCCTTAAGAAGACCTTGACCTCTCTGGGCCTCGGTTTTTTCTCAGGGCACTGTGCCATGGGGGTTAAAAGGATGGACTCTCAAGTCAGAGCTGGGTGTGGTCACCAGTTTTATCATTAACCCACCATGAGAGGCCGGGTGGTGCAGTGGTTAGGATTGCAGACTGGAGCCAGAATGCTGGGGGGTTCTTCCCAGCTTCTCCTCCCCAGAGCTGTGTGACCTTGGGGAATTCACTTCACCTCTCTGGGCTTCCCCATCTACAAATGGGATAATAATGCCTACCTCCTCTGCCTCCCTACTTCATGGCCAGTGTTAGCTACTCTGATTCTCCATAGAACGACTCACAGCCAGCTTTGAAAAGAGAATTCAGGTCACCCCCCAGCTCCAGCTTAAAACCCTTCTCCAGCTTCCCATGGCGTTTGCAATAAAATCCGAACTTCTCACCAGGGCTTGCAAAACCCTGTACACCTCTCTGACATCCCTTTGATCTCAGTGCCCTGCCTGCCGGCTGTGCTCTGGCCACCCTGGCCTGGGCCACACACAAGCTCATTCCTGCCCCAGGACCTTTGCACTGTTGCTGCTACCTGGAAGCTGTTTCTCCAGATCTCAGCAAGCCCCGCTTCTGAGAAAGCTCTCAGTTCCTAACCTCCTATTCCAGAAAACCCACCCTGACCCTACGGAACCCACGCCCTCAGCATCACGCCACCCCATTATATGTGTTCCACAGCACCTTATCTCTCTCTGAAATTATTCATAAACGTGTTTACCCAGCTACTTAACCAGAATGCCAGCTCCATGAGAGAGAGGATGACTGTCTATTTTGTTCACTGCTGGATCTCCAACCCCTGCATCAATGTCTGGCACATAGTAGGTGCTCACTGAAAAATCAATGACTGACTGACGCTTTGAGACTTCTGAATGCAGAGAGAAAAACAGAGCCCTAGTTCCGAGTCGCGACAAAGCCATTCCCTACTCGTCCCACCCCAATGCTGTAGAATCTCCTTCTCTGTCCCCTCTCTGCAGAAGCACGTCCAGCGCAGCGGGTTGTGTTTTGTTCCCGGTTTCGTTCGCGGCAGCGTCCCCTGGCCCACCACAGCGCCGAGGGCGCAACCGCGCTCAGTGAATCGACGAACGGCTTTGCTCCTTTCGGAGCCTCCATTTCTTCATCGGCAGACCAGGAACCACTGCACTTGCCCCGGGCTGTGGGATGAGGCGCCCGGGAGAGCTCCGGGGTCCTAGTGGGCGCCACAGCAAGTGGGGGGCCACTTTTTCCGGGGCAGAAAGGACGCTGGAAGGAAGCACCACCGAGCCCCGTCCCAGCCCCCGCCGCAGGCCTGCAGCCCCGCGGGCCCCGAGAGGCGGAATCCGGCCGGGGCGGCGCAGGCGGAGCCAGGGGTCGCGCACTGTTGGGGGCGCGGGGGCGGTGTCTACACCCCGGGAAGGGGTAGGGCTCCTGCCCGTGGCGCCCGATTGAAACTTACCCATGGCGAACGGGACTCCGCGGCGTGCTGGGGGCGCTGGAGGGCCGGGCGCGCATCCCCCGGGCCGGAGTCCCCAACGCCGCCGCCGCCGCGGGACAAACTTTCCGGCCCGCCCCCTCCTGCACTGCCCGCCCGCTCGCAGCGCCGCCAACGCCACGTCGGCCAGCCGGGTCCCGGGACCTGGAGGCGGGACGGAAGGGAGTCCGGGACCGCCCCCGGCCGCGCCGGCCTGGCGGGGACCCCCCTCCCTCGCCCGCTCTCCTCCCAAGGACCCCCATGGGCTGTCTTCTGAGTCCCCCATAGATAATCCTCCCCTGGGGGGTCACTCCAGCCCGCGGTCCTCCCCAGGTCCCGTGAGACGCTCACGCATACGCACTTGTGCCGCTGGCTCTCCCGTGGATTCATCCCTCGTTCACTCCACGCTTGGATTTGAACACCTACCTCATGCAGACGCTGTCCTAGGCTTGGGATGGGCCGAAGAACAAAACAGACAAGCCTTTCGTTTACATTCTAGGAGGGGAAGAGTTTACATTCTAGGAAGGGAAGACGAAAAAGAAATAACTAAAGGATCCTGAGAAATACCAGCTGGTGATAAAGACTAGGCAGAGTTAAGCTAGGGTGGTGGGTGAGGCCGGCACAGGTGGCGGCTTTAGCTCACTGATCTGAGGCGAGGATGTCGGGGCAGAGACCAGGCATTCCCCACAGAGGGAACAGCAAAGGCAAAGGCTCTGGGGTGGGAAGGTATAAAGAACCCAGAAATTAAGCCAGTGTCTGGAGCAGAGGAGGAGGCAGGGAGAGTGGAGGGAGATGGGGGCTAAGGGAGGGGCTTTGGTGGGCCAGGGTCAGGAATGTGGATTTCATCCCCATCAGCAGGAGAGATAACTGGGGAGTTCTAACTGGTTAAGGGCAGGAAGAGGGAGACCACTTGGGAGGCAAGGTGAGAAGTTGGTTTGGGCTCATGTCACAGCGGTGAGGTTGGAGAAAAGTAGGCCGATCACATACAGACTCGGTCAGAACTTACAGACTGGAAGAGGGGCAGCTTGGGGCTGGAGAAGGAGATCCAGAGTTCTGTCTTGGCTGTGTGACATTTGAGGTGCTCATCAGGCAGCCTTGTGGAAATAGATGGGCAGTTGGCCATGAGCCTGGGGTTCTGGAAAGGGGTAGGCTGGGGACACCACCACTAATGCTCACTCAGGCAAAAATACATGTACAAGCCCAGCACTCACATGGGCGCAGCCTTATCCAGCCTCTAATACGTGTTCACAGATAGGCACCTTCGCACACGTGCACCAATAGCTGTACCCTCACCAGATAAAGTCACAGCGACCCCTACCGTACAGGTGGATACACAGGCATTCTTCCAAGCTCCAGACACAAGCAGGTATCTCAGCAAAGATGACAGCATCTGCAAGACCTCTGAGCCAAGGGAATCCTTGTACAGTTCCGGAAATAATAATAGCTGGGGCAGTTTGAAAACATGGCTTCAGAATTCGTTGTTCCTTCCCTTGAAATCAAAGTGGGCTTGTGACTGGTTTGATCAGTAGCCTGCAGAGTGACACCATGTAACTTCCGAGGTTGGGTCATTGGAACACTGGCACCTGGAGCCCTGAACCTTCATGTAAGAAGTCCAATTACCCTGAGACCCTCCTAGTATTTGTGGCCTAGTGGCATCCCCTCCCTTCTAGATGTCACAAGAAGTATCACTTAGCAACTTACTTCTAAGGAATAGAATACGGCAAATGTGGTGGATGTCATTTTCAGATTAGGTTATAAATGATGGTGATTTCTGTGTTGTTCGGTCTCGGGATCTCTCATTCATTTGCTCCGTTGAAATCTTTGAGCTGCCATGTTTTGAGCTTCCCAATGGAGAGGCCCACATGGAACCAAGCTATTGAATCACATAGCTAATGCCTCCAGGCAATAGCCAGGAGGGACTAAAGCGCTTAGATCAGCAGCTCCTGGGGAACTAAATCTGGCCAACAAGCTTGCGGTGAGCTTGGAGGTGAATCTTCCCTCAGCCTAGCCTGGAGGTGACTCTAGTCCTGGCTGACACCTTGATTTCAACCTTGCAAGACTCTAAGCTCTTGCCCAGAGCTAAGCTATGCTAAGTTCTTTATCCTAGAAGGCATGAGATAATAAATGTTTGTTTCTTTAAGCCACTAAATGTTGGGGGTAATTTGTTACACAGTGATAAATAACTAACATACATTTTATTATTGTTAATTATCTTGATTAGAAAAAGGAACTGGATCATCTCCAGGAGAAAGTAGGGATTCAGTTATATCTACATGGACATTGGGAGGCTTATCACTGGGAGGCCTAGAATCTCTCTTTCAGCCCTTGAGCAGTTAACCATCAGAAGCTGAGAAATCAGTGAGAGTAGCATCTAACTTTAATTTAATGTAATCTTAAGGGACTGAAAATGCCTTTGCAAAGATCAGAGTGTGAGAGAAATCTGGCACGGTTGACTCCATTTTGCCTCTAATCTCACAGGCTACCTCTCTTCACTTACTGATTTCTGCACATAGGCCAAGCTAACCATGGGAGGAATTTAGTTTTTAACTTTAAAGGAAGGATGGTAATAATCCCTCCCTAAATCTAACCCCCTTCTTGCTCAGGGGCTGAGCCACCTTTGTAAAATTAATGAAAGACCGTGAGGTTCAGATTATGGGATGGGCCTGAATTATGCTAACATGCAGGTGTCGTTTCTATAATTCCTATTGCTCAGGAGTCATGTAGCCAGAGGTCACAAGGTTTGTAATTTTCCCAACTGCTCCTGTAGATAACATCACTATTGTAGAACCTTAGATGGTTTTCATACTTTTGCGTCCTGGCAACCAGCGGACCCGCTCTGGACTGAAGATTGTTGACTCAGCGAGTCCTGTGGTCCCCATCTAGAGGCAGACTCAGTGCATGGGGCCATTTTCCATCTCAATGATTTCACCCCTCAACCAATCAGCACCACCCATTCCCTAGCTCCCTGCCCACCACATTATTTATAAAAACCATGGCTTCTGAAGTTTTCAGAAAGACTGATTTGAGTAATAACTCCACTTAGCCCACTTGGTTAGCTCTGCATTAATAAAACTCTATCTCTACGCAATACTGCAGTCTCGGTGAATGGTTTTGTCTATGCAGTGAGCAAGAAGAACCCACTAGGTGATTATAGGGCTTTGCTGAAAAGCCCTTCTAACCAACGTCTGTCTCTAAGAGTTGTGAACCTCTCACTCACTATTTAAAAAGCCTATTCATTAGCTTGGGGGTCTGTCATGGAAAAAGGAGTTTCTCTGATTTAAAAAACAATCCCTTAAAAAGCCACTTTACTAAACTTCCTTTTACAGACGGCCTCAGAACCCAAGTTGATTTCTTGGGGAGTGACACAGAATTTAGATAAAATACAGGATGCCCAGTTAAATGTGAATTTCAGATAAAACATGGGACATACTTTTACTACAAAATTATTTGATGTGTATCTGAAATTCACGTCTAACTGGGCATACTATTTGTTGTTGTTTTTGCTGAACCTGGCAACCTTACCAACCATGGATTTGGACTGAGCTCCTGCACTAGTCCGCAACAGAACAGACTGAAAATCAAAATGGAGTCACCCATGCTAGAGTTCCAGGTCACCAAACCTAAACTAAGTTGTTATCTGACCTTTCCTGAAATCAGGAGAAAGAGAGAGAACAGCCCATTTCCCAAACAGGCCAGCTTAAATCTTCAGTCAGCGTGATGATGAAGTTCCTCTGCTTTAATCCTTACACTAAAAAAGGTAGCCTAAAGTAACCGGATGTTAACGAGTTATTTTTCTATTGCTCTGTCTAAAGTAACTAATAGACTTTTTGTTCTTTGTTTCTGCTTTCTTCAGTCCTTCTCTGTCTTTATAAAGCCAACCTCTGCTGCTCGGCTTATTGGAACATTTATTCTATTTGAGGAAATGAAGTGTTGCCCGATTTTAGAATTGCAGATAAAGCCAACTGAGATCTTTAAACTTGTTGTGATTTTGTCTTTGGACACAGCTAACAAGGAACAGACCAGGAACAACTGCACTTCCCTGGGGCTGTAAGGATGGATCAGAAGAGGCGGGATGAAGACAGCAAGAGCCAGAAGGAGGCTTCAGCTGTGAATCATGTAGGAAGGCGCGCAGCTTAAACTCAGCTGGCGGCAACCCTGACGTTTAGCAGGAATGATGGAGGGTTGGATTAGGGCTGAGAAAGGGAGTATAACTTGCACATTTAGAGTTCGTTTTGAAGTGGATTCTGCTCTGAGATTTTATTTTGTATTTTTTGCGGTGGAGTCTCACTATGTTGCCCAGGCTTGAGTGCAGTGGCTATTCACAGGTATGACAGTGGTGCCCTACAGCTTCTCACTCCTGGCTCAAGTGATCCTCCTGCCTCAGTCTTTCGAGTAGCTAGGACTACAGGCATGTGCCACCATGAAATTGTCCTCATAGGGTTAACAAGAATTACATGCTGGGCTCTGGCAGAAATATAGTTATAATGAAGCATTAATTTGGCTGCACTTTGGCTCCTTCATTGTAACTCAAAGTCATGTGGCACTAGACACTGCCTTTTCATCCCCATTGTTCCTTTAGATAGGATTTCTGACCTTAGAATCATAAGGCTTTTTGTGTAGGAATTGCTTCAGATGTTCTTCAGATCCTAAATTCCAGTGGACTGGCAGATGCCAACCAGCTTGAAGACCCCCACAGAGGAACTAAATCAGCCTAAGAATGCATTTTTAAAAATCCCCCTATCCTGTGATTTCACCCCGTATTCTTTGACCAAACAATAATCCCTACACCTCAGCCCACTCCAAAACCCTTAAAACCCCAAGACTGAAACTCCTCCAGGAGGTGGATTTTAGGTTGCCTTCTGTCTCCTCATTCATTCAGCCGCCCTAAGATGTTTTAATTCTTTCTCTGCTGCAACCCTTTGAGTCACAACCATAGTCAGCTTACTTGGAGACCTTTTTTTTTTTTGAGACAAACTCTCGCTCTGTCACTCAGGCTGGAGTACAGTGGCATGATCTTGGCTGGCTGCCGCCTCTGCCTCCTTGGTTCAAGAGAGTCTCCTGCCTCAGCCTCCCAAATAGCTGAGATTAGAGGTGCA